ATTCGGGGGTTGTTCAGGGAATGCGCTTGGCAGACGTGATTCGGCTGCCTGAAGGGGCGAGTGGTGCTGTAGAGAATCGACCTGCGGACGCAACGGTTGACGTGCGTCTTACGCAGCATCCAAGACTGCAAGCTGTAGAAATCGTTCCGGGTTCTGGTGATTTCGTTGGCGAGCTTCCTCACGACGACCACGACCATGGAATGGATGGGGGCTTCGGCATCGAGTGGGAAAAAGACACTGAAGAGAGAAGCTGGTCACCGTCGGATCATCGTCGACGGCGACGATCTAAGAAGGACGAGATTATTGAATTGCTGTTTAAGTTGGGACGAGAAGTTCGTGACGGGAGGGCTGAAGTGGGGGAAAAAATGGCCGCCATGCAGCGCTCAATAGAGGAAGTTAAGACTTCAACCGCGACATCACTGCAACAACTATCACAGTCAGTTTCTGGTGTTGCAGTAGATGAACGCTTGTCCTCCTCTGTGGCCAACGCTGTGAAAGCTGCGACAACGCATTTGGACCGGAACACTAACGCCGCACCGATTTTCACCGAGAAGCAATTTGCTGATCTGGTAGCAACGGTAACGAAGGCAGCCGCAGATGCTCTCGAGTCTGCGGCACGGGAAGGGATGTGGACGCTGGCGGTTCCCACTGCTCTACATCGGTCGGTCGATGAGTCTGTCCAACGGCCCATCACCCGCGGTGGCCTCTCTACCGATGACGCTGGTCTGACATCGAACCTCAGACACGCTATTGTAGACGCCACCTTCAAACCAACCCCCAGCCTCGCGAATCAAGGGGCAGCTAATACTGGGATTGTCTCGGTGGGCGCTAAGACGGAGGATGCGCGAAATGTTCACAGGGTGTATACTGTACCCGTAACACAGGGAGATGTAGCTGACATGTCGAGGAAAGGAGGCGCTGTGAATTTCGTACAGCCTGTCGCCAACAGCGGCGCTGTGGAGCAGTGCATTACTTTGCCGGTGGCAGCGGGGGAGGGTATGGGCACTGAGTCAAATACTTTCGGAATGCCTGTCAACAGTAGTGCAGGTGCGGCTCTGCAAGTTCCGGTGGGCCACCGCCCTACGTCGAAGGTTTCCGCTCCCAAAACTTCAAGCCAAAAGTAACTGAGCCGGGTGAAGAGGCAGAAGATGACCACCACGGGGACCGTCGTTACCGAGGAAGGCAAGACATTGGGTGCGGAGGGACCGTGTAGGGGGGCTGGGCTGTTAGACCTTCCTGCTCCGAAAGGTGGCTCCCGAACGTGGACCTCGGATCAAACCGTCGGCGGCCGCAGGCGGTCTCTGGGAACGTTCGACAGCCAGGAAGAACAGCATTTCTGTGCGGCCGTCTGCTTGTGTGTCTATTTTCCAGACTGCAACTTGCAGAAGTTCAAGATACTCCCCGAGGAGGAGCGCAAATGGAAGGAGCTTCTCGATTTTGCGCGCAAATGGCCGACAGGTTTATGGAGCGTGGTAGAAGAGTATGATGTTTGCCGTCGGAAAAGGTGGGTACAGTTTTTGTTCGATATTCTTGATACGCATTACGAGAAACTGACTAGGTATCATCGACTCTGCAGTTTCGAAGTGGCGAAAACCAAGACACGCGAACTCGAGAGTGCGGGACGGAGCTGGGAGATATCCCTTTGCGCTGGGACAGCAGTTGCCGCTGGAGAACGGTTTAAAGGGCCATTGCAGAATCCTCCGTACGGAGTGAACACTCCAACATTTCTGGCCACTCTCGCGGGTACCCTCTCGAGCCTTTGGGCAACATGCAGAGGGCTAGGTGAGCGAGAGGTCATGGAGGAGGCTCTAGCCGCAGCATCTGCAGCTGGTGGTGGGCCTATTCTCTCGAAACTAGTTGTTGCTGCAGCGGGTGCCGTCCTAGTCGCCATGGGCCAGCAGAAGGAGCCATTGCCGTTCAAGAGAGCTGTTGAAAATGTGAAGGCAACTGCTCTTTCTGGAGTTAAGCTCGACCACGTTGCATGGTCGAGTGTAGTCGAGCTGGCTGCAGATGTGGCAGTCTGTTGGTGCTTGTGTGGGCACGCTGTCAAGTGGCTGCGATCGAGGCGCTGTGGAGCGGTAGACGTTGCAACAGAGCCACGATCCCGTGGGAAAAAAATCGGGAGGGGTGAGGGAGGAGCGGATGGGGGGGGTGGAGCGGAGCCGTAGAAGCTGTTGACGAAATGGTGTTCGGTCTTTACTGATAATTGCTCTTTTTTGGTGTGTTTTAGTTCTTCTAGACAGTCTAAGAAATCGGATTTCCAATTACGTTAACCTTGCAGATTATGATAGGGGATCATTCTTTCCTCGACTGTAAAAGTGCGCGTAAACAATAAAAACGGCAACGTGCTAGCAAACGCATTTCTGCATGTGACCAAGCTTGAGCACCCATGGAAAGATCGATATGTCGGGGAATAAACTCGAGGAAGTTGGTTATGTGCACCCGTAACTTGAATACGACATTGATTCTGGGCACGTTAAGCAATCTGCAAATTTACTCGAGCGTCTGTTCTGGTAGACAAGCCAGCCTTTCAAAAGAAGAGATCGCGCACGAGCCATCGAAGCGATCAACCAGATCTCAACTGTGCGTACGCGGCGATCTGTAAACTTTGCGCGACATCGCCATTACCCGTTGTGAACATTGCGGGTATTTTTGGGTGAACTCATTTGCATCCTTGCCTGCGAAAAGGCGAAAGTTCGACGCAGAGAACCCGCAAAACAAGGCTCTGACAACAGCAGCGAGTGTCTGCCTTGAAATGACTTAGCCTTGGGAAAAACACACACAGATAGGTTACCTAGTAGGTCCTACATATCAAAGCATGCTGGAAACGTGGTGAGAAGGTCTTGGATTAATCTGAACTTTTGAAGGGAAGCTACAAGTGGTGCAAAGAGGGTGTCACCAAACAATCAGGTCAAATGAATAAGGGGATCCTTACATGGGGTTAAAAACCACATGATTACGCAATCAGGTAGATTTGTGGTCTACAGATTGAATAATGGTTTGATATTTTGCAGGGTGGATGTAGGTAGTTGTACGTCAATCTAGGTAGATGCTTCCACGTCAAATTCAAGGGATTTGTACCCTATTTTATTGATTTACGGCATAATCACTCAAACACAAAGAAACGGGTGAGAATGAGATGTAGATATTGTAGAATGAACTGATCATTTGCAGAGATAATACATCATGTGGAATAAGAGTGACACCCAAGTTTCAAAGCAATGTTAAAGGTGCGAGAGAGCGATGTTGTGCAGATTGACAGTGACATACAAACTTCAGGGCAATTGATGTACAGGTTATTGAGTTATGAAAACAAATGCAAACAAATGCAAGTTGTTGGAGAGTTGAGGGGGGGATATTACAAAGCCCTGGTTTCTTGCAAGGTTCCAATATCTGGCTTAAGGGTACTACTGACCAACAATTGGGCCCTTAAAATCTCTGGAGCTTGAGTTATTGTCAAAAGTGGTATGTGCACAAGCTACAATTGTTTAGGCAAGTATTACAATGAACCAGCATGTATCACATCAGTTGTGCCAGTCAGCTAGCTGAAACAATACCTATCACTACTATGCTAAAACCTAAACACTGTGTTTCAAGCCAACTAACCGTGTTGTAAACAAGAAACAGACTATGCATATAATACTTTGTTCATATGCTGTAGGCAGAAATTAGTCAACGAGTCAACGTTGGACAAACTAACCAAACCTGCCCAATATGTTCAGCATACCATGAGGGACCAGGAAACACACCCACATTTCCAAAACTCAGGCAGTTTACATCCCTGGAAGCTATGAAAGAGGTAGTGAAGTCAGTGTTCCTTCAAGAAAGTAACCAACATTAAGTGTCTGAAGTCCTATCTTTCGCTTATATAAGGCCATACTATGTTAGTTGGAGCCGTTTCAGTTAAGAAAACATCAAGTGATGATCGCCCCTAATCTGCAGGCATTTGTTGGGGCTCTTTATTCACATCTTTGAAAGATGAAGTGACTAGTTTTACATCAATGTAATACATGTATACATTACGCTGTACATTTCCAGTTCTCGAGTTCGACGGTAACGCAGCCGAGTTCTCGAGTTCGACGGCTGCGTTACCGTCGCTTAGGGCGCGAACCGTCTGCGATTCACTCGTGAGCCAATCTGACGGCTAAGGCGATGTAACACCATTTCTTAACATTTTCGTGAATTTCGCGAGTCATATAACTAAAAGATATATGAAAGCTCGTCCTGGCTCGTCGGGCAGAGCTAGTTCGCCGATAATTTTGGCTGTAAAAAATCAAAACCTCGTCCTGGCTCGTCCTGGAGGGAGGGGGGGGGGGGGGGCGGCACCCGCGGGGGCGTTCATATATCCATGGTGTGGCGAACTTTCTCCACCGTGTCAGATTGTGCTTTGAAATGCTGAAAAGCGTACTAAGCGGCTTGACTGGAACTAGGAACCAATCGTATGAACAGAAGTGAATTGACCTCGAGTGTGAACACGAGCTACCGACGCAGGACTAGCATTCCACCTGCCGGTCGAAGGGAGGTGTAGATAAACTGTTGAATTTCTCGCAGGAGAACCACCCTCCGCAATAGTGTGATTGACATCAGAATCACCTTGCGTGATTTGCCAGCGATAGTCACGGCGTGATGTCAGGTCAAAGCGCAGATGCGCATGCGCCGGTACAAGGTCACCTTCATAGCACTCAAAATATGTTGCCACACCTTCTTACAAAGAAAAACTTCTTCCAACATAAAGCCCACTTGAAAAAGTTGTGGTGTGTTTGGAATTCAGTGTCGTGTGTTGGGACAGTTTGGGACGTTACTTGTGTTGCAAGGCTCTGGGCCGAAATACGCTGGAGAACGAGGATTCCACTCAACAGTTATTGACGAGGAGCAGGGCTTACAAGATACGTATCTGAGGTAAGCCTCTCTCAAGATTGTAAGCACTAAATTCCAAGGTGTACTCTTCTTCACAGTTGTCTACTCCAGGAAAACAAAAAAAACAAAGCAAGCAAGCAAACCTAATCGGCAACACTGAACACGCGGAACGAGTCCATGACTTGCCGCAGCACAGGCCTCTCAGAATCCAACAGCCTCTCGGGCACCTGCAGGCGCAGCTGGTAGAGGCGTCTGTTGGCCACTGCGAGCACTGTGAGGTAGCGGCGGTTCCACTCGAGCACCTGCACTCGCTCGTCTGGCATGATGGCCAGCTGGTTGTTGTTGGCAAACGACTTCACGTTCAACTGCAGGTGAGCGAGGGATGGAAAGGAGCGGAGGATGCAGGGAGGGAAAGGGTGGGAGAGGGTGGAGAGAGGGCGGGGACAGGGTGGTAAGCATTTGGTGAAACAGTTGACTGGGAAGAGAGAGTGTAATGTGGTGTTTGGGGAAAATTTGATTGGGATTTGGTGACTCTCCTCAATAGTTCTCACCACCATCACTTTCCCCCCAGCAGCCCTTCACACCATCTCTCCACCACACCTTCCCCCCAACCCCCTCTGCTTCCCCATCCCGCAGACCCCTCACCTCCATATCATGGTACCCCTCATTACTCTCCTCCTCCCCTCGCAAGCTCCCCCTCCTCACTCTCACCCCTCCCTCCCCACGTTCCTCCGCCCTCCCTCAGCCCCCTTCTCCCCTCACCTCCATGCCATAGTACTTAGCATCCTCCCCAACAATTCCCGCCCCCATCCTCCAGAATCCCCCTCCCCTCCTCAATCCGCACTCCCCTCACCTCCACGTCATCGTTCTCGCGTCCTCCCCAACAATCTCCACTCTCCTCCACCCCTCCCCTGCCCTCTCCTCCGCACCCCCTCATCCCCACTCGCCCCACCCAACCCCATTCGGTCCCCCCTCCCTCTTTACGCCCCCTCACCCCCACGTCATAGTACTAAGCGCAGCGACCTGCTACTGCTCCTTCCAGTGAGAAAGATGGAGGCGCCTAAAAAAAGTCGTCATAGCGCTCCACGTCCTCTACCCTACCCCACCCCACCCCACCCCACCGCTGCCGCACTCCCTATCCTCCATCCCCCCACCCACACTCCCCACCATCACCCTCACTCCCCCCCACTCCCCTCCAACCCCTCCCCCTTTCCCCCACGCCCCCTCACCTCCACGTCATAGTACTCAGCGTCCTCCTCCTGCTCCCCGGCGCCTCTCCTCCCGGTGCCAGCTGGCACGATGCGGTTGGCGGAGGAGATGAGGGAGGCCTCGCGCCGCACGCCCAGGCGTGTGGACATGAACTCCGTTAGAAGCTGCTTCTCTACTCGCTCCCCTGCTGCCTGGGGGGCTCCCAGGTCCCGCACAGACTGTACAGCCACATGCATTAACCAGGGAATAACAGGGCGTTAACAGGGAGGGAGTACAGAGGAGTACGGTGGGGCACAGGAACTCCGTTAGAAGCTGCTTCTCCACTCGTTGACCTGCCGCCTGGGGGGCTCCCAGGTCGCGTACAGGCTGTACAGGGGTTCGACACGGAGAATGGGGGAGTGCAGAGGGGTACAGGAAGGTGCGTGGACATTAACTCCGTTAGAAGCTGCTTCTCTACTCGCTTCCCTGCTGCCTGCGGGCCTCCCAGGCTGTCCCAGATCATATGCGCTATAGGATCCGCAGTCTCTGTACCTTTCTTCTCACTGCAGGGTGGGTACTGTTTTTTTAGCGATTGCCTTTGGACTTAACGTGGGTTGGCTGTGTCAAAGATTGGATATGTGCCTCGCGGCACAGCACATGGCACACTACACAACGCATAGCACACACACATACAGCGCATACCACACACACAGCGCATACCACACACACAGCGCATACCACACGCACAGCGCATACCACACACACAGCGCATACCACACACACAGCGTATACTACACACACAGTGCATACCACACACACAGCGCATACCACACACACAGCGCATACTACACACACAGTGCATACCACACACACAGCGCATACCACACACACAGCGCATACCACACACATAGCGTATACTACACACACAGTGCATACCACACGCACAGCGCATACTACACACACAATGCATAACACACAAACAGCGCATACCACACACACAGCGCATACCCCACACACAACGCACAGCACACACACAGCGCATAGCACACACACAGCGCACTACATACCGCGAATCGGGACGACGAGGGCGACGACACCTCGACGCTCACGTTCTCGTCGAGGTTGAACGAGCTGCGGAAGAAACAGTCCTGCCCGGATCCCCGCACCTGACGGCGGGAACGACGGGAGGAATGGCGGTGAGAATGGCGGAGAAACAGCGGCGGAGGGCGAGTGAAGAGGGCTCGGGAAATGCGCAACTTGGAAGCTCAGAATCACACGAGCGCGGATGACTCAGATGATTCAGGAACGAGCACAGCAGCTCCGAAGCTCAAAAAGGACGAGCGAGCCAATGACGAAAACACGCCGATCCGAGAGCCGATCAGGCTCATCACATGTGATCTGAATAGAGCGGAAAAAGGCCGAAACCCAGGCGGCCTTGAGAGCGTGAGTGCGTTTTCAGAACCAGCCTTTGATGACGCGACCTTCTAGTGAGTATCGTACGGCTGTTGTCTTGGTAGGAAAACTTTTGGACGTCTCTAAAGCTGTATGTGCCGTTTGAGGCGTCAAAACGCGCGACCTAGTGAGTCACTCATCTCACCACGCTGATAGCGCAAACTAGCCAGTCTGGCAGCTCAGCAGGTCGATGACGTGAACTAGCGAGTGTTCTGTGAGAATTATCAAACGCTGATCCAATCTGTGTCGCGAATAACGAGCAGCCGTTAATGCGACCACGGCTTTGGTCGACTCAAAAGTCGCCTCTTTCAGAATTCTCAAAAGCAACTCTTCCCGGGCTCACCTCGACCCACGAGTCGGGGTAGAAGAACGAGTAGCCGTCGAGCCGATCCACGTACAGACGGAAGCCGGCAGGCGGGAGCAAAAACGGCAGCGCTTGCGCCGCGGGGAGAGCAGACCAATCCGCGAGCAGCGCGCCGGCAGATGCGGCGAGAAGAAGGGAAGCTCTGCGAGAAAATGCTCCCTTAGAGGAGGCTCCGTTATTATCCTGCAATTCACTCGTAGAACACTCTGAACCGGAGGATGCTGAAAATCTATCTGGTTCTTGGCTAGCCCGCACTCGGAACGCTCTGCGACTCGAGCCTACTCGTGCGGTTTGTCTGGGAGCAAGGACGCTCCAGGAGCCTCCTAAGCAGCGAACTGCGGATGTGTCGGCTCGCTCCGCTGCACACAGCTGAAGCGGAGCGCATGCTAGGGTGGCAGCCGCCGCTCCGGTGCTGGCCGACATGATTAGAGACATAATTACGGTCGACCAGTTGCTTAGGCCAGACTAGACTAGTGAGCAGATATGGGAACTGTCGATAAATGGCAAGAGTGAGGGGGGATGGAGATGGAACAAATGGAGTTATCTAGGTGGATAGGCTTCGTCTTCTGGTTCCACGTGGCTTGATGCGACCTCCAGTTCGATGAGCCTCGAGTTTCGCGAAAGGAGATGCCTGGGTCGCGAGGACACGAAAGCAATTACTTAGTAACTGCTTGTCGCACTGGCGCCGCGAAACATCAGCATGACTCATGCGGACCACTGTTTGTGTTATTGTGCCAGCAAGAAATAAATCATTTCAATAAGAATGAGACAATAATGATAATACATTCCCCCTCCCTGCAAACTAGTTCTCAAAATTGCTTCTCAGGTCATAGTGATATGTTCCCCAGCACGACCTCTTATATTAAGAGCAGCTCAACTCCAGTCCGCACTCGCCGATCGTGTCCTCGCCGGAGGCTGGGGCGGCAACCCCGCACCCGGCGAGAATTGCACCGGCCCACGAGAAGGCGAAACCTGGTAACCAGGAGACCCCACTCCACGCCCTCCTCCTACCCCACCACCGCCACCACCACCACCAGCACCACCACCACCGCCATTACCACCATTACCACCACCGCCGCCCATTCCCATCCCACACATCACTTCATCTGCCATCCCTCCGCTCTGACTCCTCCCCAACGCCCGGTTTCCCCGCTTTCCCCTAGGCTGCAGCGACCCAGTGCGCCTGAGAAACCTGTCCCCTAGCATGGCTCGGCTGGGACTGGCGGAGGGTGAGCTTCCCCCAGATCCACCTCCCCCTGACCCAGAAGGGGGATACACCATCCCACCCCCACCCCCACCTGCTCCCCCACCCATTCCACCACCATTACCACCACCACCACCGGGACCACCGACACCAGCGCCTGAGCCGGCACCTGAAGTGTTCCGCCCATGAAGAGGACTCCGCATGTATCTCCCGCTTCCGCTGCTGCCACCGCCGCCACCCCCGCCACCAGGCACAGCACCGCCACCGACAGACAGCCGGCCCATGGCGCCTGAAATCAAGGGGCTACGCAGCTCAGGGCTGCGCGGGGGCCGCATATCCCACTTGGCCGACGCCTTCCCCAGCACCCCCGAACCCGGATACCCCGGCCCTGCCGGCGCCATCCCCACTCCCACCGCTGCACCCAGCCCGCCTCCTCCATCCCCTCCTCCTCCCGGCCCCCCACCCCCTCCACCCCGCGCGCCTTTCCCCGACCGCGCGCTCCCGCCGCTGCGACTAGAGTCGAAGGACCGGACGCTGCCATTGGTGGATTCGCTATTATCACTGGACATGGAGACGGCGTCGAAGACGCTTTCGGGCATGAGCACGCTGAAGGTGGGGTGGCGCAGGCCTTGAGGGTGCGGGTCGCAGGGCAGGTCCACGAACTGCTGCGGGTTGAGGAAGAGGTAGTTGGCGTGCAGCACATCCCGGATTCGTGACCGGATGTTGGATGCTGCTCCTTCCAGCACCCGCGAGTAGCTTTCAAGGACTGCTTTGCCGATGTCCTGCAGGCAGCATGGGGGAGGTGGTGGGGGGGGGGGAGGGGAGGGAGGCATGGGATGCATGGGGAAAGGGGTTGAGGAAGAGGTTTCGGGCATGAGCACGCTGAAGGTGGGGTGGCGCAGGCCTTGAGGGTGCGGGTCGCAGGGCAGGTCCACGAACTGCTGCGGGTTGAGGAAGAGGTAGTTGGCGTGCAGCACATCCCGGATTCGTGACCGGATGTTGGATGCTGCTCCTTCCAGCTTTCAAGGAACGTGGGAGATACGGGGGGTGGGGTAGGGAGGTGAGGGTATGAGCAAGAGAGAGGGGGAGGGTTAGCAGGAGGGAGTTGAAGGTATGCATGGGATGTGCAGAGCTTGGCATGACCTTTGCGATTTCGAGGGTGGGTCGAGTTAGGTGGAGTGTGGGCGGAGTGCGGAGTTGGCTTCTCCTGCAGGTCAGCCCATCTATGGCAAGGCAAAAGGCACCTCTGGTGCAGGACAGGACCTGCTAAAGCCTCTACTTTCCTCCTTTCTGGTCGCATTCTAGTGCAATCCGTTCTGATGCTGTTCCTTACCAGCACAACACATGGAGCTGCAAGAACGTACCCCATTGAATGCGATGTTGGCTAGGTCAAGAGTGGTGCGGGGCAGGTCGGGCCATCTGCGGCAGATGGCAGCAAGGCACGAGGACACGCGCTGCAGGCTCTCCTGACTTCCCCTCTGATATCTCTGAACTGAGGTAGCGTAGCTTACCCCATTGAACGCGATTTTGGCTAGATCCAGAGTAGTTTGGGGCAGGTCGGGCCATCTGCGGCGGATGGCAGCAAGGCACGAGGAGACGCGCTGCAGGCTCTCCTCCAACCGCACCACGTCCCGGCTGCTAGTGAACAAATAACTGCCGCCCAGCGTGTGGCTCAGCTGGGGCTCCCTGGTCATGCCAAGTCAACGCCAGTCAAAGCATTGCAAGAGTGGTCAACACAAGTCAAAGAGGAACCAAAACGGAGTGAACGTGAGTGAACATGGGACTGATGATGTGAGGTGAAGTGCAAAGCTGTACGCGCATGTCGAACAAACAGTGTCACCACAAAAAGGGCGAGAGACACTTTGTCAAGCTCACAAAGAATTGCACCTCTACGAACCGCACAGAACTGCATTGCACCGCGCCATACTGCACAGGACCGGTACCTTGCAATCGCGAGCTGGCGCATCCAGATCTGCTCGGCAGCCTCGAGCTTGCAGGCGAGCTTGAGAGCCGCCTTCTGATTGGACAGGTCCACGGTGGAGAGCAGCTTGTCGTCCGTGAAGGGGTTGGCGTGCAGGGCCGCATACACCCTGTCTCCCACCACCGCCCTCACGTTCTGAAGAGCATGAGCAGGTGGAAGGCAAGGAAATGGGTGGTTCGGAAGAGGAAAGTTAAGTGAAGGGAAGCAACTGGACAGCTGTGACTGGGATGGCGTGCAGGGCCGCATACACCCTGTCTCCCACCACCGCCCTCACGTTCTGAAGTGGGGAACAGTGTAGGTGTGGAGAAGTCGGGCGGTAATGGTTGGCATGAAGGTTGGTGAGCAAAGTGGGGAGTGGCTTGTCGTCCGTGAACGGGTTGGCGTGCAGCGCTGCATACAGCCTGTCTCCCACCACCGCCCTCGCGTTCTGATGGGAGTAGGTGGGGGGAAGGGACGGGTGGGAAGGAAACAGGTGGAGAGGCACAGTTTGAAAGCCGCTTCTCATTGGACAGGTCCACCATGGAGAGCAGCTTGTCGTCCGTGAACGGGTTGGCGTGCAGTGCTGCATACACCCTGTCTCCCACCACCACCCTCACGTTCTAGAAGTGGGGAAGAGTGGAGGGGTGGAGAGGTGGGGTGGTACTGGTTGGCTTGAAGGTTGGGAGCCAAGTGGGGAGTGGCTTGTCAATTTGAAGCGGCTGGCGTGCAGCGCTGCATACACCATGCCCCCACCACCGCCCTCACGTTCTGACGAGAGAGGGGAGGGGTGAGGGTTGAGGGGTGGAGAGGCGGGGGGTTGGGGGGTGGAGGGTTGGGGGGGTGGATGGGTGGGCGTGCGTGCAGGGGTGGAAGGAAGGATGTGGATCAGAGAGAAGAGCAGTTTGACATGTGTGGAGGGGTTGACGTGAAGGCAACCCACCACCATCGCGCACTGCCATGCATGGGCAGGGAGGCCCTACGTTTCGGGGGCCCTACCTTGGGAGGCCCTACCTTGGGAGGCCCTACCTTGGGGAGGCTCTACCTTGGGAGGCCCTACCTTGGGGAGGCTCTACCTTGGGAGGCCCTACCTTGGGGAGGCCCTACCTTGGGAGACCCTAACATGCGAAGGCCGTACCTTGGGGAGACTATACCTCAGGCAGGCCATACCTCAGGCAGGCCATACCTCAGGCAGGCCATACCTCAGGCAGGCCGTACCTCAGGCAGGCCGTACCTCAGGCAGGCCGTACCTCAGGCAGGCCATACCTCAGGCAGGCCGTACCTCAGGCAGGCCGCACCTCAGGCAGGCCGTACCTCAGGCAGGCCATACCTCAGCCAGGCCGTACCTCAGGCAGGCAGTACCTCAGGCAAGTCGTACCTCAGGCAGGTCATACCTCAGGCAGGTCGTACCTCAGGCAGGTCGTACCTCAGGCAGGTCGTACCTCAGGCAGGCCGTACCTCAGGCAGGCAGTACATTGGGGAGGGAGGTCTTACCTTGGGGAGGCGCTGCACAAAGGCGTCGGGGACTTGCATGTCCTGAAGGACCTGCTGGTTGATGGTCATGGCGAGCTTCATGATCTGACTCGTCTTCTCCATCTGCTGCTCCAACCACCGCACCAGCGCCTCCCCCAGCGGCCCCCGCACTCGCGGCTTCATCTTCCACCGCCACACCTGCCGGCCCCCTCCTGCCCCCTCTCCTCCTCCCACTCCTGCTCCTCCCATTCCCCCCATTCCTCCTCCCATTCCTCCCATGGCTCCCCCGCCCATGCCTTCTGGGATGAACCTCTTGTCCCTCACATCAGTCACGCTGCGTTTGAGTCCCCGCATGATACCGCTGCCACCGGGAGGGATCCCCCCTCCTGCCCCTGTCCCTCCCCCTGACGCTCCCCCTGCTGCGCCAGCAGCAGCAACAGATCCGCCGCCGCCGCCGCGGCTCCTTCCACCCCCTAGAAGCGCCGAAAAGTCGTAGCTGAAGCTCGAGGAGCGTGACGACACCCGCCGCTTGCCCCCCGACCCTGGAGAAGCACCTGAAGGAACACCTGAGGAAGAGGCAGGAGCAGCAGGAGCAGCTGTGCTGCTGGACCGCTGATGAAAACCCCAGGATGACCCGGGGTTTGGACTCGACCCCTCCCTGCTCCCCGTGTTACTCCCTGCGTTGCTCCCCGTGTTACTCCCACTGCTACACGCATCCTCGCCCTCCCCTCCTCCCCCTCCTCCGCCCCGCTGCTGTATCAGGTCCTCTTCACTACCGCGCCTCTCTGCCTCAAACCCAGGGGAGGAGAGCCGTCTGTAGTGCCCTGAGCCCCCGTCCCCTCCGTGTCCTGAGCCCCGCTCTCCCGCGTCTCCTGTGTCTCTGGTGTTCCCTGTGTGCAACGTGCCTCTGTGGTCAAACTCCCCTCCCTGGCTGTACTGCCCCTCATCATCAGCAAAATCCTCCTCCTCGTCTGCTGAAGACCCTCGTGGGGACGACCCGTGAACCGACGAACCTTGCCCCGAACCATGCGCCGAACCATGCGCCGAACCATGCGCCGAACCATGCGCCGAACTATGTGCAGACCCGTGGCTCACTCCCCGTCGCCCCCCACCTCCCCTCTCCCCACCATCCCCACCCACTCCTCCCAACCGCCCGCTCATCCCTCCAGTCCCATACGGCCCGGCGTGAGTGGCAGGCCGCTCCGAGGGGGCTGTGGCGCTGCGCCTGATGAGTCGATCCGGTGCACCGTACAGATCCCCAGCCGACCCTCCCATGCCGCCCATGCCGCCGCCCATGCCGCTGCTGCTGCCGCCCGTGCTGCCGGCTCCGAAGCTCTCCCTGTCGTCATCGTCGTCGTCGTCGCCACGCAATGTCTCCTCAACCTCCTCTTCGTCCTCCCCCTCCTCGTCCACCTCGCCGTCCTCCTGTGTTAGGTCGCCACCTGGCAGCTCGTCCTCGTAGTAGTACTCGTCTGATTGGCTGTGCTGCAGGATGGTCTGATTGGGGGAAAGTGAGAAGTAAGGTGAGGGAAAAGAGATGCGGGGAGGGGGTGGGAAACAGGGGAGGGTGGGGAGGGGAGGCGGGGTGGGGGGGTTGGTTTTGCAGGAGGGATAAGTACAAGCGCAAAAGAAAGCACAAGCACACATACAGTAAAACTCGTCCGCTTGGCTATGCTGCAGGAGCAGGTGGATTGAAGATGAGCCAAAACTTGTGCATGCCGGGGGAAAGGGAGTGAGTGAGGAGAACACCAGAATGGGGGCATTACGAGCAGCACAAGTTGCCAGCAGCTGGCTGAGCGCCGGCAGCTGAATCCGAACTTGTGCATGCGGGGGGAAACGGAGTGAGGAGAACACCAGAAGGCGGGGCATTACCAGCAGCATGGTATCAAGCTGGCTGAGCGCCGGCAGCTGAATCCGAAGGTCAGCTCGGACACTCCGACGCATCACCTGCCAGCACAGCACAGCACCGCACAGTACCGCACAGCACATATGGCACCACATGAAAAAGCATCACCAAATGATGCCCATCTCCCTCCCATTGCCTTCCACCATCGGCCATTCCACCCTCACTTCCCCACCATCGCTGCCGATCCCGGTGCCTGCTCCTTCACCTGCCCATACCCCTTCCTCGCCCCTGCCCCTGTCTCTGCCCCTGTCTCTGCCCCTGTCTCTGCCCCTGTCTCTGCCCCTGTCTCTGCCCCTGTCTCTGCCCCTGTCTCTGCCCCTGTCTCTGCCCCTGTCTCTGCCCCTGTCTCTGCCCCTGTCTCTGCCCCTGTCTCTGCCCCTGTCTCTGCCCCTGTCTCTGCCCCTGTCTCTGCCCCTGTCTCTGCCCCTGTCTCTGCCCCTGTCTCTGCCCCTGTCTCTGCCCCTGTCTCTGCCCCTGTCTCTGCCCCTGTCTCTGCCCCTGTCTCTGCCCCTGTCTCTGCCCCTGTCTCTGCCCCTGTCTCTGCCCCTGTCTCTGCCCCTGTCTCTGCCCCTGTCTCTGCCCCTGTCTCTGCCCTCTCTGCCCCTGTCTCTGCCCCTGTCTCTGCCCCTGTCTCTGCCCCTGTCTCTGCCCCTGTCTCTGCCCCTGTCTCTGCCCCTGTCTCTGCCCCCGTCTCTGCCCCGTCTCTGCCCCCGTCTCTGCCCCCGTCTCTGCCCCCGTCTCTGCCCCCGTCTCTGCCCCCGTCTCTGCCCCTGTCTCTGCCCCTGTCTCTGCCCCTGTCTCTGCCCCTGTCTCTGCCCCTGTCTCTGCCCCTGTCTCTGCCCCTGTCTCTGCCCCTGTCTCTGCCCCTGTCTCTGCCCCTGTCTCTGCCCCTGTCTCTGCCCCTGTCTCTGCCCCTGTCTCTGCCCCTGTCTCTGCCCCTGTCTCTGCCCCTGTCTCTGCCCCTGTCTCTGCCCCTGCCTGTCTCTGCCCCTGTCTCTGCCCCTGTCTCTGCCCCTGTCTCTGCCCCTGTCTCTGCCCTGTCTCTGCCCCTGTCTCTGCCCCTGTCCCTGCCCCTGTCTCTGCCCCTGTCTCTGCCCCTGTCTCTGCCCCTGTCTCTGCCCCTGTCTCTGCCCCTGTCTCTGCCCCTGTCTCTGCCCCTGTCTCTGCCCCTGTCTCTGCCCCTGTCTCTGCCCCTGTCTCTGCCCCTGTCTCTGCCCCTGTCTCTGCCCCTGTCTCTGCCCCTGTCTCTGCCCCTGTCTCTGCCCCCTGTCTCTGCCCCTGTCTCTGCCCCTGTCTCTGCCCCTGTCTCTGCCCCTGTCTCTGCCCCTGTCTCTGCCCCTGTCTCTGCCCCTGTCTCTGCCCCTGTCTCTGCCCCTGTCTCTGCCCCTGTCTCTGCCCCTGTCTCTGCCCCTGTCTCTGCCCCTGTCTCTGCCCCTGTCTCTGCCCCTGTCTCTGCCCCTGTCTCTGCCCCTGTCTCTGCCCCTGTCTCTGCCCCTGTCTCTGCCCCTGTCTCTGCCCCTGTCTCTGCCCCTGTCTCTGCCCCTGTCTCTGCCCCTGTCTCTGCCCCTGTCTCTGCCCCTGTCTCTGCCCCTGTCTCTGCCCCTGTCTCTGCCCCTGTCTCTGCCCCTGTCTCTGCCCCTGTCTCTGCCCCTGTCTCTGCCCCTGTCTCTGCCCCTGTCTCTGCCCCTGTCTCTGCCCCGTCTCTGCCCCGTCTCTGCCCCCGTCTCTGCCCCGTCTCTGCCCCCGTCTCTGCCCCCTGTCTCTGCCCCTGTCTCTGCCCCTGTCTCTGCCCCTGTCTCTGCCCCTGTCTCTGCCCCTGTCTCTGCCCCTGTCTCTGCCCTGTCTCTGCCCCTGTCTCTGCCCCTGTCTCTGCCCCTGTCTCTGCCCCTGTCTCTGCCCCTGTCTCTGCCCCTGTCTCTGCCCCTGTCTCTGCCCCTGTCTCTGCCCCTGTCTCTGCCCCTGTCTCTGCCCCCGTCTCTGCCCCCGTCTCTGCCCCCGTCTCTGCCCCCGTCTCTGCCCCGTCTCTGCCCCCCGTCTCTGCCCCCGTCTCTGCCCCCGTCTCTGCCCCCCTGTCTCTGCCCCTGTCTCTGCCCCTGTCTCTGCCCCTGTCTCTGCCCCTGTCTCTGCCCCTGTCTCTGCCCCTGTCTCTGCCCCTGTCTCTGCCCCTGTCTCTGCCCCTGTCTCTGCCCCTGTCTCTGCCCCTGTCTCTGCCCCTGTCTCTGCCCCTGTCTCTGCCCCTGTCTCTGCCCCTGTCTCTGCCCCTGTCTCTGCCCCTGTCTCTGCCCCTGTCTCTGCCCCTGTCTCTGCCCCTGTCTCTGCCCCTGTCTCTGCCCCTGTCTCTGCCCCTGTCTCTGCCCCTGTCTCTGCCCCTGTCTCTGCCCCTGTCTCTGCCCCTGTCTCTGCCCCTGTCTCTGCCCCTGTCTCTGCCCCTGTCTCTGCCCCTGTCTCTGCCCCTGTCTCTGCCCCTGTCTCTGCCCCTGTCTCTGCCCCTGTCTCTGCCCCTGTCTCTGCCCCTGTCTCTGCCCCTGTCTCTGCCCCTGTCTCTGCCCCTGTCTCTGCCCCTGTCTCTGCCCCTGTCTCTGCCCCTGTCTCTGCCCCTGTCTCTGCCCTGTCTCTGCCCCTGTCTCTGCCCCTGTCTCTGCCCCTGTCTCTGCCCCTGTCTCTGCCCCTGTCTCTGCCCCTGTCTCTGCCCCTGTCTCTGCCCCTGTCTCTGCCCTGTCTCTGCCCCTGTCTCTGCCCCTGTCTCTGCCCCTGTCTCTGCCCCTGTCTCTGCCCCTGTCTCTGCCCCTGTCCTCTGCCCCTGTCTCTGCCCCTGGTCTCTGCCCCTGTCTCTGCCCCTGTCTCTGCCCCTGTCTCTGCCCCTGTCTCTGCCCCTGTCTCTGCCCTGTCTCTGCCCCTGTCTCTGCCCCTGTCTCTGCCCCTGTCTCTGCCCCTGTCTCTGCCCTGTCTCTGCCCCTGTCTCTGCCCCTGTCTCTGCCCCTGTCTCTGCCCCTGTCTCTGCCCCTGTCTCTGCCCCTGTCTCTGCCCCTGTCTCTGCCCCTGTCTCTGCCCCTGTCCTCTGCCCCTGTCTCTGCCCCTGTCTCTGCCCCTGTCTCTGCCCCTGTCTCTGCCCCTGTCTCTGCCCCTGTCTCTGCCCCTGTCTCTGCCCCTGTCTCTGCCCCTGTCTCTGCCCCTGTCTCTGCCCCTGTCTCTGCCCCTGTCTCTGCCCCTGTCTCTGCCCCTGTCTCTGCCCCTGTCTCTGCCCCTGTCTCTGCCCCTGTCTCTGCCCCTGTCTCTGCCCCTGTCTCTGCCCCTGTCTCTGCCCCTGTCTCTGCCCCTGTCTCTGCCCCTGTCTCTGCCCCTGTCTCTGCCCCTGTCTCTGCCCCTGTCTCTGCCCCTGTCTCTGCCCCTGTCTCTGCCCCTGTCTCTGCCCTGTCTCTGCCCTGTCTCTGCCCCTGTCTCTGCCCCTGTCTCTGCCCCTGTCTCTGCCCCTGTCTCTGCCCCTGTCTCTGCCCCTGTCTCTGCCCCTGTCTCTGCCCCTGTCTCTGCCCCTGTCTCTGCCCCTGTCTCTGCCCCTGTCTCTGCCCCTGTCTCTGCCCCTGTCTCTGCCCCTGTCTCTGCCCCTGTCTCTGCCCCTGTCTCTGCCCCTGTCTCTGCCCCTGTCTCTGCCCCTGTCTCTGCCCCTGTCTCTGCCCCTGTCTCTGCCCCTGTCTCTGCCCTGTCTCTGCCCTGTCTCTGCCCCTGTCTCTGCCCCTGTCTCTGCCCCTGTCTCTGCCCCTGTCTCTGCCCCTGTCTCTGCCCCTGTCTCTGCCCCTGTCTCTGCCCCTGTCTCTGCCCCTGTCTCTGCCCCTGTCTCTGCCCCTGTCTCTGCCCCTGTCTCTGCCCCTGTCTCTGCCCCTGTCTCTGCCCCTGTCTCTGCCCCTGTCCTCTGCCCCTGTCTCTGCCCCTGTCTCTGCCCCTGTCTCTGCCCCTGTCTCTGCCCCTGTCTCTGCCCCTGTCTCTGCCCCTGTCTCTGCCCCTGTCTCTGCCCTGTCTCTGCCCCTGTCTCTGCCCTGTCTCTGCCCCTGTCTCTGCCCCTGTCTCTGCCCCTGTCTCTGCCCCTGTCTCTGCCCCTGTCCTCTGCCCCTGTCCTCTGCCCCTGTCTCTGCCCCTGTCTCTGCCCCTGTCTCTGCCCCTGTCTCTGCCCCTGTCTCTGCCCCTGTCTCTGCCCCCGTCTCTGCCCCTGTCTCTGCCCCTGTCTCTGCCCCTGTCTCTGCCCCTGTCTCTGCCCCTGTCTCTGCCCCTGTCTCTGCCCCTGTCTCTGCCCCTGTCTCTGCCCCTGTCTCTGCCCCTGTCTCTGCCCCTGTCTCTGCCCCTGTCTCTGCCCCTGTCTCTGCCCCTGTCTCTGCCCCTGTCTCTGCCCCTGTCTCTGCCCCTGTCTCTGCCCCTGTCTCTGCCCCTGTCTCTGCCCCTGTCTCTGCCCCTGTCTCTGCCCTGTCTCTGCCCCTGTCTCTTCCCTCTTGCCCCTGTCTCTGCCCCTGTCTCTGCCCCTGGTCTCTGCCCCTTTCTCTGCCCCTGTCTCTGCCCTGTCTCTGCCCCTGTCTCTGCCCCTGTCTCTGCCCCTGTCTCTGCCCTGTCTCTGCCCCTGTCTCTGCCCCTGTCTCTGCCCCGTCTCTGCCCCTGTCTCTGCCCCTGTCTCTGCCCCTGTCTCTGCCCCCTGTCTGCCCCTGTCTCGCCCCTGTCTCTGCCCCTGTCTCTGCCCCTGTCTCTGCCCCTGTCTCTGCCCTGTCTCTGCACCTGTCTCTGCCCCTGTCTCTGCCCCTGTCTCTGCCCCTGTCTCTGCCCCTGTCTCTGCCCCTGTCTCTGCCCCTGTCTCTGCCCCTGTCTCTGCCCTGTCTCTGCCCTGTCTCTGCCCCTGTCTCTGCCCCTGTCTCTGCCCCTGTCTCTGCCCCTGTCTCTGCCCCTGTCTCTGCCCCTGTCTCTGCCCCTGTCTCTGCCCCTGTCCTCGCCCCTGTCTCTGCCCCTGTCTCTGCCCCTGTCTCTGCCCCTGTCTCTGCCCCTGTCCTCTGCCCCTGTCTCTGCCCCTGTCTCTGCCCCTGTCTCTGCCCCTGTCTCTGCCCTGTCTCTGCCCCTGTCTCTGCCCCTGTCTCTGCCCCTGTCTCTGCCCCTGTCTCTGCCCCTGTCTCTGCCCCTGTCTCTGCCCCTGTCTCTGCCCCTGTCTCTGCCCTGTCTCTGCCCCTGTCCTCTGCCCCTGTCTCTGCCCCTGTCTCTTGCCCCTGTCTCTGCCCCTGTCTCTGCCCCTGTCTCTGCCACTGGTCTCTGCCCCTGTCTCTGCCCCTGTCTCTGCCCCTGTCTCCCCTGTCTCTGCCCCTGTCTCTGCCCCTGTCTCTGCCCCTGTCTCTGCCCCTGTCTCTGCCCCTGTCTCTGCCCCTGTCTCTGCCCCTGTCTCTGCCCCTGTCTCTGCCCCTGTCTCTGCCCCTGTCTCTGCCCCTGTCTCTGCCCCTGTCTCTGCCCCTGTCTCTGCCCCTGTCTCTGCCCTGCCCTGTCTCTGCCCCTGTCTCTGCCCCTGTCTCTGCCCCTGTCTCTGCCCCTGTCTCTGCCCCTGACCCTCAATCATGTCCCCCCTCCACACACCTCGAATCTGCTGCCATCGGGGCGAGTGGTCCAAGCAGGCGCCAGCTCCACGATGTGTCGACACACCGACACCATGATGCCCATCTCCCTCCCCTTCCCGTTTCCACATCGCCCCTGCCACGGTCCACCCCCTTCCCCACCACATCTGCCTGCCCTTCAGCCTGTCCCTGCCCCTGCTCCCGTCACTGCGCCTGTCAATGCCCCTGCCCCTCTCCCCAACCCCCATACCTCAAATCTGCTCCCGTCAGGGCGAGTGGTCCATGCAGGTGCCAGCTCCACGATGTGGCGGCACACCGACACCATGATGCCCATCTCCCTCCTCCACTTGCGCTCGTCCTCCTCTGGCAGCGGCCGCAGCCGCAGCCCATCCCCGAAGATGGATGCTGGGGAAGGGGGGAGTGGGGAGGTGGCGTAAGGGGAAGGGTGGAAGAGTCAATGAGGGGTTGTGGCAAGAGAGGCTGGTCCTCCTCTGGCAGCGGCCGCAGCCGCAGCCCCTCCCCAAAGATGGATGCTAGGGAAATGAGGGGGGAGAGGCGGGTGGGGGGGGGGAGGAGTGGCGGGGAAGGAGAAAGAAGAGGTGACGAAACGATGTTGGAAATGTAACGGTCGGGACAAGACAACGTACCTGAGATCCTAACAGCGTACCTGAAACCCTAACAGCGTACCTGAAACCCTTACAGCGTACCTGAAACCCTAACAGCGTACCTGAAACCCTTACAGCGTACCTGAAACCCTAACAGAGTTCTTGAATATCTCACAGGTCACCTGAAACCCTGACGGCGTATCTGAAACCTTAACAGCGAACCTGGAACCCTAACAAAGTACCTGGATCTTTAACAGACCCCCTGAAACCCTAACGGCGTACCTGAGACGCTAGTGATGGCATTGGCCATGGCTAGCGCAGGGCCGCACCCCTTAGCCCCTCCGGATGGGTCGTCTCCCAGCAGCAGCTTGGACCATCGCTCGCGCATCAGCTGCATGTCTGCATGAGGAGAGGGGGAGGGGGAGGGGGAGGCGTTAGGATCATAATTTGCCACGAAGCTCCATGTGAAATGGATTTGAGCTTAGAACCTGTCTCCCAGCTGCCGCCTGTCCGGGGAGAGGGGGAGGGGGTAGGGACGGTCCTTTACAGTCACGAAACCCCACAGGAAGGAATAGATCGGAAGTAGATAGAAAGTCATTGGGAGAGAACTGCCAAGAATGAATCGAACGCACCATCCTTGTCCTTGGGAATGTAGTCCTCCACCGCTAAATCCGGGTCGTCAAACGACCCCGCCATGGTTCCGACTGAACGGACCGATATGTTCCTCGCTAGTTTATCTTCGGCGATGGATCAACGAGCGGAATGATACCCTATGAAATGCCGTCACTCTCCGCGCGCAAATGCCGAATCACCCCCCCCCCCCCCTTTCTCCTCCCCCCCCTCCTCCCGCCTCTATCCGATTCACGGGCGCGTTGCTGGCTGGCTATCGAAACTATGGTGGTGTATACTGGGTGTCCTGGAGAGAGGGGTGTGGATCTTAAAACACTGAGATCAGTATCCGTCAGTAATCAGCGAACGAATTTTTAGACGACTACGAAAACGTTTCCGTCAGTGATCAACGAACGACCCGCCACGGTTCCTGGCTAACTGAGCTCGGGTGACGGTTTCAACGCCGGCTTAATGAGCGTTGGTGACGGGCCGACGGCCGGACTTATTCGAAAAAAGTCCGTCAGTTTCCGTTAGTAATCGGCGAGCGACTCCGACATGGGCTTTGCAAACGTCAGCTGGCTGAGGGTTGGTGATGGAACGACGGACGCACTTCAGGCAGTCTTAGGCTGAGGGTTGGATTGGATATGGGGATGGGCCTGGAGGTAATATCTCAAGACAACCTCGACAGTTTCCTTGGGTGTTTTTTTTAAATGACGGCCAATAGTTCTGTTTCACGCTGAGTAGCTAGGCTTCGCTCTTGGACAGACGCACAAACGTTGTAAAGAGGTTTGATACCCGCCAATTATTATTCGGAAGTGGTAAAGGAGGGTGAGCGTCGTCATTGCGAATGGACGGGTCTGGGACCTGTCATTGTCATCGAGTCTTGAGTGATGGGCGCGCTCATTGTTAACGGGTGTCGGACATTATCTGACCTAACGAGCCGTCGAGCCTCGCCATTGCTAAGCGATGGCGAAAAACGCGTTAGGACGTCGTCAGAGTTAGCGAGTACACACTGAAGCAACAACTGCTTGGCACATCAACGGTTGTACAGTCACCCTGAACTGCCATGGACCTTCGAACATGATTGCACAGTAACAATCCGACGTGGTGCAGGTGCAGGTGGAGGGCAACGAAATCGCCCTTGGGAACAACGGCAGTGTCCCCTTGAGAATAGCGGGGCTGGGTTGGGAATGATGTCCTCACTACGAGGTCGGGTTGAAAGACCACCCTGAAGCAAATGTATGCGACTGAATTTGAGATCCATTCAGTTCATCTGGTTTTTCCAGAAGGGACTCTTTCAGCGAGTCCACAAAAGTTAAAAGCTGGAATCGAACTCATGCGACTATACCTTTTCGGCAGAGTTTGAGAAATAGGGAAGTTTTCGCACGATAGCCCACCATCCAAATCGCAGGTGTCAGGTGACGGAACGGATTGTAATCACCTTTAAGAGTTCCTTAAATAAAGACCAGTGACAAAGTACACCTTCAAATCACACTCTTCGCAAACGTTTTCACACATGTGCTATAAAATTAACCTCAGACTTCTGATTGCTCCACATTATCTTCACGAGGGTCCTGATATGGAAAATCTCACAGTATTTATCAAACATCCATGCAGCTCTACGGATAAAATTTTGACGTATTTATTAATCCCCAAAAATGTTCCGCATAGACCCACCACCACCACCACCACCTTCTATGGAGCTCCTAAGGGTCCACGAAGCTCAGGGTGCATTCCGCGCTGGACACTTTCTCAAAGAAAGTGTCCCAATCGATTGTGACGCGTATGTACAACTTATGCTGCCAGTTGTCAGAAAACCGGGCCGCACATGTATGTCGCTGAACGTATTTATCATTGGACGACGTGAAGTGCGGAAGTGTCGCGCACTAATTGCAAGCCAGCGCATCACATTTCCAAAGTCGCACGCGGTGCCAAATGTCCCCACATGCTAGGGTTTAGCTAGCTAGGCAAGAGAGAAATGAACAAAGGAGGGTTTTCACTAGCAGCAGTTGAGATACATATAGCAAACCCTAACAGGATTGTACTCGCTATAGAGCACCCCACTACAGGCTAGATAATAACATTCTGACACACCCCCATAGCCAAAGTGGGGTGTAATCAGCAGAGCACACAGTCATAGAGCAGGTGCACAATTGCAAGCAAAGCTAGAGGCTATCACAGAGGGCAATTGAGGAGGAGGAGGAACTGTGGAAGGAGAGAAGATGGAAGGCAACGACTGAAGCTGCAGAGGCACGGGCACAGGAGCGGCTGACTCAGTGGCTACCGAAGCAAGGGCGACGGACTACTGGAGTGACTGGCTCCGCGGCTAAGACGAGCGGCAGGAGCAACGGACCCACTGGCGACTGGTGCAACAGGCTCACTGGCTACCGAAGCAAGGGCGACGGACTACAGGCGCTGCAGGTGACACGACAGCTACCTCCACACAACCTCCTCCAACTGACCCACACCCTTGACACACACCCCCTGCTGAACCCCTAACTCCACTCCCACGTCACCCCCCTAGCACCACTCCTTCGGCTCCCACACACCCACCCCCCTGAGCGGCAGCTGCAGCAGCGGGAGACGGAGGAGGAGGAGGAGCAGGGGACGGCGCACACAACCGGCACCCCCACAACCGTCACCCCCACAGTCCCCACCCCCAAACCCTAAAACGGGTGGCACGGGGTAGGAGCGCGGGGGACGGCGAGGGGGACGGCGCGCGGCCCCCAGGGCGCCACCACGGGGCAGCGAGGGGGGGCCGCGCGCGGCGCCAGGGGTGGCGCGCGGCTCCAGGGGTGACGCGCGGCCCCCAGGGCGCCACCACGGGGCAGCGAGGGGCCGCGCGCGGCTCCCCAGGGCGCCGCGACGTGACGGGCGGGGGCCGCGCGTGCTCCCCAGGGCGCCGCGACGAGCAGGGCGGGGGCCGCGCGCGGGTCCCCAAGGTAGGAAATCGCCGCGCGCCTCGGGGCGCACGGCGGGCAGAAAACCGCCGCGCGCCCCGAGCGCACGGCGGAAAGAAAACCCGAAAAAAAATTCGCCGCCACGGGGCGTGCAACAGACAGAGTAGCAGCGGAAGCAGTTAGGTGGGCCCACAGGCCAGGAGCGTAGATGCTCTGATAGCATGTGAGAATACTGAGCACAGTGAGGAGCCATAGCTAGGGTTTAGCTAGCTAGGCAAGAGAGAAATGAACAAAGGAGGGTTTTCACTAGCAGCAGTTGGGATACATATAGCAAACCCTAACAGGGTTGTACTCGCTATAGAGCACCCCACTACAGGCTAGATAATAACATTCTGACAGCATGTACCTGGACAACATTTGAGAGACACAACAATCCCTATCAACGCGTTCAATGCAGCGTGATTGGTCGACAGAACACACACGGAATTATTGACGCGGCAGAGAGTGTGCCCCCATCAGGCCTTCAGATTGGTCTTGGCCGACCCTGGGTGATCAGGGTACGAGGTTAAGTGAACCCTGATGGCTAGGGTAAAAAAAAAATTTCCCTGTATTCTGCAGCGTAAAAATTCCAATACACTGAATCAGTCAGTATGAAAATGTCTCTATACTGAATTTAGCAGCATAAAGTTGCAGATACTATGATTTCAGTCTTCCTAACTAGTACAATCAATCAGCATGGCACTAAAGCTACACATGGTGAAATACCAGGCTAACAGAACTACCATTGGGTTTCCCTAGTCCTCAAGTAACAGGGTCAGAAGATCCCTCGTTGTTGTCATCAGCAAAAAGAGCCTCTCCTGGGTTGGTGCCACTGAAGTCCTTTGTTGACCGCCGCAGCTTCTCTCCCCTGAAAATCGACACCACCTCGTACCAGTCCACGTCGTACTGGAGCAGAGAGCATCTCATCAGATGCTCGAGGGTGGTGTCAGAGAGGGCGCCACGCTCCCACGACTTGATCAGATTCTGCTTGCTAGATCCCCTCTGGCACTCCACCGTGCTGAGTGGTAGCACGGCAACAGCCTGCCACATCCGCATCAGGTTGGGGAAGGAGTGCTGCCATGCGTCGTCCCGAAGCATGTTCCCCAGCGCCTGGTGGAAGTCCTCGTCGTTGTGCTGTGAAAACATGGTAGACGTGAACATCCACAGCTCGCTCTGTGCCCTGGTGTAGTCAAATCCTGATGATCGGGAGTGGGAATTACGCAGGGTATACTTGCAGTAGGCGGGAGGGAGGGGAAATCTTAAACCAAACAATCAACAAGGCGCAGGCATGAGTGCACGAAGATACTATACATCAACGCGCATGCGTTCAGGTACCCAACAACCACGCTCGCACACAAACCGAACACATACATACCTGGCAGTTTGTTGTTGAACAGTTTGTGCAGTTGAGCCAGCCACTTTTTGAAGGTCTCCACACGCTTTGTATCGTCTGAGACGTACGATGCTGAGCGAAACAGCTTCGACCCCTCCAGATGCGCCAAGTCCCTCATGCGCCACTCCAGCTCCTTATCGATTTCACGCACGAACTTCAACGAGAGCTCGTAGCACGCCTCAACGTCACCGGCCGTCTCGTGCCCTTTGATTTTCCTCTCGTGCAGCTCGTACTGGAAGGTCATGGGGTTGCCATCACTGTCTACGCCCTCAGCCTTCACCTCCCGCTTGTCCATCTTCTGGTGGCGCTGAATGAAGTCGTTGAGGGTCATCTTTTCCCCGCTGCCGAAGTGCTGAGATGGGGAACCGTTCAAATAACGGTTCTTCAGGCGCCATCGTGTCTGCTGCACCAGGTGTGCCACCAGAGTGATGTCGATCTGCAGAGTGAAAACAAGTGACACGGTAAGCGACATGTATAATCGAAACACGTTGGATAAGGAACACAACAGAACGGGTATGCGCCAACCGTACCTGCCTTTGCTGGAACCGCTGATTCAGGAAATTCAGCTCCCAAAGCACATCAGCAAGCAGGCGAAGCATCCAGTGGAATTTGAATGAAGTGGCAACCTCGTACAGATCGGCGTTGTACTCCTTCAGCACCACAATGACCGCAGGTAGGATTTCGAGGAGGCGTCTAACTGCTTCTCCGCGTGACAACCATCGAACTTCATGAATGCCTTGAGCCTCGAGGTTGGT